CTTTTCTAGTCTCACCTCTACTTTTATAATAGTATCAGTCTAGTGAAATTAAGTGTTTGATGAGATGTGTATTTTTATTAGTACACAAAGTTGAGTTTTAACATTATATGGATTATAGGGAGATGTGATTCCCAAAAGTGGTGCAGATGGCATTTGCTTCATTACAGTACATTCACTCACTTATTAATTCCGGTCATGCAAGTAATAGGTGCATGTTGTGTATGTATGTACAACTTTACAGACAGTTACGTAGCTACTCATGTGTTTCTCTTCTGTTCAGAGATCAGTGAACGTTGAAGCTAGTACTGGGGTGGGCCGGCCTGGTTCGGTGGAGGGTATGCAGAGTACAGCTGAGTCTGAGGCTGGGCAGAGTAAGGAGGAGGAGGGTGTGGCTGGGGGGAGGGGCTGTGACCAGTCACTGGGTTCACCAGAACTTGGCATCCTTGCTGCAGATAATACAGACGAGATAGGGCGAACTACGTACCACTTCTGTATGGTAGTATTTTGCAGCAACTTTCACATTACAATGGCATGTTGAAAGTGAGAAACTCTACCTCCAAGTAGGGGGGCATGAACCAAGGCCATACTGGTGTACGCTTGTCCAAATACGGAGATGTTGTTATTAAAACGTGGGGAGTGGTGTTTGAGGAACCCTCCTTGATTGATAACAAAGAATGAGAGACATTAGGAGTATTAACCTGAGGTGGAGGGTGGGAAGCAGGGTAGTTATAGTTGACGTTGGTGGGAGGTGGTTGTTCGTTAGCCAGGAGAGGAGCACCCTGAGATGACGACATGTTTGAGACAGTGGCCACGGTGACAGAAGGTCCAGTGCTGGCAATGATGCAGGCATTGACACGGGTGAAACGCCGTCTTCTTGCAAACCTCACGGAGCAGGCAATGGAGAAAATGATGCCGATGAATATGATGATAAAAAAGGCTGCTGTGCTGCCACCGACTACAGCACCAATATTCACTGTTAGGGAGAAAGGAAAGACCTTTTTTGCTAGGCTTAAGATCAGAGATTTCTGGCTCTGCATATGTAAAAAGGCCTCTTGTATACACTTGCAAAGAATGTGTGGTCAGGAACCTCCTTCCAGTAAGCATAAAAACGTGCTCAGCAAGACACTTACCACAGCCCTGTTCATCGCTATTGTCTCCACAGTCATTGATTCCGTCGCACTTGTCATACTCATCCACACACTGTCTATTGCCACATGAGAACTCGCTGTACGTACAGGAGGCTGGAAATGAGAGACATCATTACATCTATTAGAATCTTGTGTGGATGATGAGGTTAACTAGAGTGGAACCTCCGATAAGGGACCCTCCAAGGTAGGGATGACCTCTCTACAAAGCACTTGTTTCAACCCCATGCTAAAGCACTTTAGTGCCTCCGAGATAGGGATAAACTCTCTACAGGGACACAATTGTCGGCCCCATAGTCTCCCTTGTTCGGAGGTTCCACTGTATTGCACTGCAGTACATTAAGTATCATTGGGTTCTACTGCATTAGATCTAGCCTTGTCCCCAGGCCCCCACTCTTAAAGGCGGAGCCTGGGACGAAACTACATCAGATTGCGAAATCTGTGTCTAGCACGTGAGCCGAAGAGGGAAAGAAACAAACACTGCACCCCCCACATGGGAGAGTAGCTATAAGTACTTAACTCACACAGGCGGTAGACAATTGCACTCTGTCTCCGGGAATAAGAGCAGGCAATGTCATTGTTATCAGTCTGTCCGCTACGGTCGTTGGCCATGTAGTCAGAGGAGCTGGCCTGCCAGCCTATCACTCCTCCACCCCACATCATGGTGCCACAGTCATAGATAAACACGGCATAGGTATCGCCACCCGTGCTTTCAATGAGTACAACTTGGAATCTGTTAACGTCAGACTGTGCACAAAAAGTGAAGAGTTTCAACTCAACTTTCAACTCGAAGTATACTCAAATGTGGGAGCTATTAATGTTCTATGCATGTGTCATGCGTCCAAAGGCCACTGTATTTATATACACATTTATAAAACACATGCAAGAGAAAAACTCACCATGATACACGATGCAACTTTGTTGAGTGAGAAGAAGTTGCATACAACTTCAAATAATACATATGTATGATGACCATGCAGCAAAAGTTTCATAAAAGAGAAAGCATTGCGTGTAACATGTTGTGTGAACCTATCATACCCATACATTTGAAGTTGCATGCAACTTTGTCTCATGCAACAAAGTTGTATTTAAAGTGTGCAGCCACTATACAATGTAATGTGCTGTTCCAACTTGTTCCACTGTAACAAACAGTTCTGGAGTTCAAGCAGCGACAGCCTGAGGTGGAGCGAAGCCAGGTCATCACCTCTCTTCGTATCGGAGAAGGCGGCCATGCCACTGTGAGTCCTCTCAAACACACACGCTGTGCCTTTTGTCAACCAATCATTCTGTAAAATATCTCAATATGCATGCTGGTTAGCTATTAGTTATGCCTCTGATTTGTAGCCAAATTGGAGCTACCGTATGTGTATGTGTAGTCAGTGAAAGCTACTGTATATACACATATCACATAATGTGTATGTAGACATGTACGTATATGTAGGCATGGAAGAGTGGCTGAATTGTGAGATACTGTATGTGTATGTATGCAGTATGTTGTGTGTGTATGCAGTATGATATTGTGTGTGTGTGTAGACATGGAAGGGTTCGTGGAGTGGACACACTGTGGCCGTGAGGAGACTCAAGATAAAGGGAGATGTCTACCGCACCGGTCTACTGGAGAGCTTCCCCATCGAATACATGAAACTGAGGTACTCATACATACATACACCTACTTGTACTGTATGCAGTTGTTCCACATCTAGTCTTGGGTTAGTCATACAAAGTGTAGGTCTGCAAGTGTAATGCTCATTTCTGAAATGTATGGCACGCAGATACCTGCACCCTTACATACACATTCTTCCATGCATCTTGTATCCTCCCCCCCCCCCCTCTCTCCCTGACAGGGTGTTCAGTAATGAGAACATTCTCCCACTGCTGGCTGTCATTACATCTCCAGAGATCCATACCATCAGTATGTTTATGAGACTTGGCTCTCTCTACCACGTCCTACATGACCTCGACAGTGGTGAGCCTTCCAAAACATACACACACGATTGTTTTCATACTCTGTGAGTCAGTGGAAAGAATTACATACTTGTGCTACTGTCATGATCTGCATGTACTGTATGTGTTGTGAATGAGGCTTGTGTGTGGCACAGCCGGGGGAAAAGAGAATTTTGGTTTGCAGAGATTTGAAGTTACACAGTTAGGGCAGTCCACAAGTTCTCTTTGCCTCCTAAAGTTTCTCCCTAGGTGCTGTTTTTGCTACTGCGTGTGCTGCTATAGTTAGCTCTCCCGTACAAACTGGAAGAAGACAATGGGTGTATGCCAGCAATCGTAGTACACTTGCTCAAGTACACCAATTCATAATACGTTATGCTTAAAACACCTCCAGTTAAGAAGTGAACAAAACGCTCTGTCATTATATAAATGCTAGTCGTTGACTGATTAGTTTTCTGTGTGTGTCTCTGTGTCTTCACAGAGGTGAAGATCAACATCGGGGAGGGGGTCAAGTTTGCCCAGGACATATGCAACGGGATGACCTACCTCCACTCAATGGACACTCTCATCAATAGATTTGACCTCAGCCCTCACCACGTCTTTGTGAGTTCCTTGACATGTCGAACCTTATGCATACATACATGCATACATACATATACACAGCAGCACGTTATATTTTTGTACTAAGCAAAGCAAATGAAAGGTGAACACAACTACACACAACGTACAGCTTGTAGGTACGTACGTACGTGTGGTTAAATTGTAGGTTTGGAAACTGCGCTAATGTTTATGCTTGTTTTGTGCTGAAAAATTAAACTTGAGTGTACGTCAATACGTACGTATGTGCATACCAAAGTGTTTCATTCTTTGTGTTGTGTTGTGTGTGACTGGCAGGTTGATGAAGACATGACGGCAAAGCTGGATCTGTGCCACACGCGGTTCTCCTTCATGGAGAATGAGCTGGTCTACGTCCCCAACTGGATGGCCCCTGAAGGTCTGCTTCCACTATTAACCTTACAACAATCTGTCTGATCTACACAAGTTTTGTTTCGGAGTACAGTACCTAGAGTTAATGTCAGCCTTTATTTGTATGTGCTGTACGCTTCTGTAACTATGCATAAGAGGAAGCGTGGTGTGCTCTAATTAGAATGTATTGGGGTTGTCCCTACGCACACAGCACTGCAACATCGACCCGAGGACATTGACAAGAGGGCAGCTGACATGTACAGTTTTGCCGTCATTCTCTGGGAGATTGCCACCAACAAAATCCCATTTGTTGGCCTCTCTCCAATGAACATTGGCATCAAGGTATGTAGCTACATCTAGAGTAAACATAGGGAGACCGACACTCAACTCATTGTCTCTGGCATACATAGAAGTGGGCAGGGATTCTGAGTCCATCTCCTTAGCTCTCTGCTAGAGGGAGCGGGAAGTAGCCTATGTTACTGGATACTGTAGTCTCGTACCAGCCGCTCTACCCACAAGGGGGAAAGGAGCATCTGGTAGCTATTGCCGCAAATCCTGGTCCTAAAGACGTCACATCCGTAGTATCCGAACCCCTTGTCTAGTAGGTGATGCATATGGGGCCCCGCCTACCAAAGTTCGCGGACTACGGATGCACGTGACGTTGATTGGCCGTTCTGCAATCTGATTGGAGATCTCAAAATCTAGGATCAAGAAATGTGTCAATAGTTACCAGACCCCATTTCCACATGATGAGTGGGTGGGGTCTGGGCCCGAGACTAGTTCTAGAGCATGTATATACCCCCTCTGCCCAAGCATGGCACTCTTTTTTTCCCTGTTGTGAGGGGTTTCAAGGTCTTACTCTTAGCACTGTGTTACATTATGTGAGGATTTTGAGGTGTTTCTCTTTGTGAAAAGGAATGTAGGAGTTTAAAGGCTAAATATAGAAACCGATACTGAAATTAATTGGATCTCGCACTGGCCCCTATAGTAACATTTTGCCCTTACTTATTATCCTGCCACATTCCTCAACCTCTACAAACTAAGCAAACACTATTATAACCTCAGGTGGCAAAGGAGCTAGCGCGACCGGTGATCCCCAGCACCATCAACCACCATCTCCAGAGGATCATTGACATCTGCTGGAACGCTGACCCCAACAAGAGATCTCAGTTCAAGAATATCAAACCCATCATTGACAAACTGGAAGTCTAGTGGCAGTATAATAATATTGTTGACTATAGAACACTTTTCAATCACCTTTTCTAGTCTCACCTCTACTTTTATGATATATAGCCTCAGTCTAGAAAATGTCTCTAATAAGTTTTAGCACACAAAAGTGTCTATTCTATTGGGATGTGTAGTGAAGATTCAAGGAAAGGATGATTGTATATTATGGATGCAGATGTACTTGTAGGAACCACTGTCTGTTATAATGGCGTGTAGCTATAATAATAGTCCCAGAGCTGCTTTTGACTATATACCAGAGTACAGGAACAGCTCTACTCCTTGATTGTGACACGCATGCACTGACATAGCTAACTAAATATTGTATATACTCCTGTAATTGGCGATCAGCGGGAGCGAGCCAACCTAGTCGTTCGTTCGAGCGGAATTTTCTATTCGTCGCGTCGTGTGTATATACGTCGTACGTCGTGTAAGTGCGCATGCGCGGTTTTGTACGCGCTTCTTACACACACGGTGCCTCGCGATATGCGCCGATCGCAGGGGCGTAGCTAGCATTGAGGCAGAGGAGGCAGTTGCCTCCTCTGTTTTTGCTGACTTATGAATAATTTTCGCAGCCAACGACGAGCGCCAGCAGCGAGAAAATGCAGTTACCACTGGGTTACACCAACCAAGAGCAGACATCTCACCCAGAGTGAATCGACAAGACTGGGGTCGCTTCGGGCATCGCCGTTTTGCTCTGGCCTTCCGCGATCAAACATTGACATGACATTGCGCAACGTTATTGCGCATGCGCGCAATTAATCTCCACATGAATATACTCATTTGCCTCCCCTAAGATTCAATCCTTGCTACGCCCCTGGATCGATCTAGCCAGCGAGAGAACTCTCCTCCATTCGACGGCATGCGCTGCAACCTCCGGTGACTGACCGAGGCTGTACCTCTTCCCAATCTTTGCTTCCAAGCTGCAACTTGCAAATACGCTAGGATTTCTCGTGCACATACTGCTGCATGCCAGCTGCCTGGTGGACCACGACTGACGAGCTGAAAGCGTAAGGTAAGGACCGTTCTGCTCACCTGCTCACCTATACAGTACGCATGTAACGGCGACAGGTAGCTCTGTCTTGCTTCACGAAAGGAAAGCTGTGCGCTGACGGCACGTTATGCAGCCCGAACATCGCGGACAAATCCCAAGTTGGGTCGCTCCGCCCAAGTTGGGTCGCTCCGCTCGCCAACAATGTTCAACATTCTTCTAATTGGCGAGCGGGAGCGAGCCAACCTAGTCGTTCGTTTTCGAGCGGAATTTTTACGACCGGCCGGCCGTACGTCGTGTAAGTGCGCATGCGCTGCTTTGTACGCGCTTCTTTTTATCCCAAATTATTTCCAAATTTTTACACATTTTCACACACGGTGCCTAGCCTCGCTGTGCCGATCGATCTCGCCAGCGAGATAACTCTCCTCCATTCGACGGCATGCGCTGCAATCTTCGGTGACTGACCGAGGCTGTACCTCTTCCCAATCTTCATGGTTCCAAGGTGCAACTTCCAAATACGCTAGGATTGCTCGTGCACATACTGCTGCATGCCAGCTGCCAGGTGGATCACGACTGACGAGCTGATAGCGTGAGGTAAGTACCGTTCTGCTCACCTGCTCAACGTTCTGCCAATCTAAACTACGCATGTAACGGCGACAGGTAGATCTGTCTTGCTTCACGAAAGGAAAGCTGTGCGCTGACGGCACAACATCGCGGGCAAATCCCAAGTTGGGTCGCTCCCGCTCGCCAACAATGTTTAACATTTCCACTAGTTAATATTGTGTGGGTGACGTATTGGCAGCTAGAGGTTTCACGATAACTGTTTAGTGTCACCCTGCAGTGTCACAGCCCATCGTGGTGTGACACCGCCTACGACGCCATTTTAAGGCAACACTCAGCGCATGCGCATGCATGCGCGATTACGGAAGCCCATTGGGGCCGCCGGCCGGCCGTGCGCACGCGATAGAACCGTTGTCCGCGCGCGTGCGCAGCCTATTATACACGTTAACGTTAGTTGACGCGGATCTTCCGTCTTTACGACAGCTGCTTCACTGTAAGTTATGATAGCTAATCATCGCGCGGCGTAGCTACTAACGAAGTACACATCTCTGCAGTTTTGTAGCCCCTGTATTTTACGTGGCATTATGGTTGCTCTTTGATAGCATCTTCTGGAGATGCTAGCTAGCAGCCATAGCTAGTCTGGTCTGATTACCAATTCAACCACCAATGCAGTATATTAATGCCAACCCCCTAGAGGCAATTGAATTGTGTGGATACTGCTTAGTGAACGCTATGCTCTCGGCTATCCTATTGGTGAACCGATGTGCTACAGGCGGCTTCATAATACACTACAGTATTATTGTATACATGGATTGAAATTTAGGGATGTCAAGTCAAAAAACAAGGGGAGCAAAAAGATGCCTACACCAAGACACAAGGTCTATCTTTCAGCGATCCTCCATGCATTTCTCAATGCTTGCTCGACCCTTCAATCCTTGATCCTCGGTCTGCATTCCTCATTCATAACCCTACCCTACATAACAAAGCTATCTGTGCCGACCAATGTTATCAAGTTATCTATATAGTTATCATTGTAGTGTACAAAGACAAACAAAAATGTGAGGATAATGACCTTATACATTGGTGTAGGCATCTGTTTCCCTTGTTTTTCATGACATGACATTCCTATTTCCCCCTTCATCACTTGTAAAAAGGTTGTGTGGCGACCTCTGACCTATACACATGCACGACCTCTGACCTATACACGTGTACGGCCCTGACCTATGTAAGATGGTATGGGAGGTGATTCGTGCCAAAATTCGACGATGTGACGAACCCGTTTTGTTCGTCTGGAGGAGGCGTGTCTCGTCGAGAGGAGGAGGCAAGTTTTTTGAAGTGGAGAGGAGCGCGAAAGTGTGGAGAAGGCGGGTCTCGTTCAGCGGGAGGGGCGCGGTTTATGCGGGGCTGGACACGTCGTGAGAGCCCGGATGTCAGACCTAGAGCAGCTGGTGAGTGCGACCTCTCAGCTGCAGCAGCAGCTTCTTGAGAGCGCGGTGCGCGGTCTTGAAGGTCAGCCATACTAGCCGTGTATGAATAGCCATCCTAGGAAGTTATTCTTATTAACGCCGTCCTTGCCCTTTGACCGGAGGCGGTTCTGGGAACCCGACGATGGAGATAAGCCTCTCCACACGAAGAAACTTGCCTCCTTCCTCCTCTCGACTTGGCACGCCTCTCCACTTGAAAAAAACTTGCCTCCTCTCGACGAGACACGCCTCTCACTCGTAAAAACTCGCCTCCGCTTCGACGAGACACGCCTCTCCACTTCGTAAAAACGGCATGCCCGCTCGACGAGAACACGCCCTCTCCACTGGAACAAAACGCGACCTCCACCCGACGAATCACGCCTCCTCCAGACGACAAAACGGGTTCGTCCACATCGTCGAATTTTGGCACGAATCACCTCCCATAAGATGGAACATTCGAGAACTTACGTAGAACATATAAGGTGTGCTTTGTATGTGATACTATTTTGAGTCGCTACATATTTGGTGACCACGACGTGACCCGAACACGCTACGATGGCCCTCGACGACAGAGCTAGCTAGAGACGCAGGAACTGTCACAGCTGCAGTTCAACTCAAGCTCCCGCCCTTCTGGCCTGCTGATCCAGACGTCTGGTTTGCCCAGATTGAGGCGCAGTTCATCACGCGCGGCATAACTGCGCAGAGGACGAAATACGACTACGTGGCTCTGAACGACGCCATTTGCTGCTAACTCAGCAGTCAGCAGAAGGGCGTTTTCTGGTGCACAATAGAATGCTGCACAGGTTGCGTGTTAGCCTCATTCCCCAGGCCCTTTATGTTGTTGTTGTTTCTCCTCCCCCGAGATGGAAAACACAGTGGCCATTACTGTAGTCACTAAATAAATTGCATCTGTTTTTATGGGCTTATGCCCCAAAATATCTTTTTATTGCACACCATGCATGTGAATGTAGGTTGGAGGAGATTTTATGACACAAACGTGACTGACTAGGGAGATACAATGTGTTTGTGATTCATCAAGAATTACCCTAAGAGACACTGAGTTCCAGTCTCCAAGCCTTGTGTCGACAGACCCCGCCTACCTTCCTCCTCTGTCTTTATGTATATTCCCATTGTATTAGTATGTATTAAGTTGTTGCTGTTCCCATTGTATGTCTTTGTCATTTACTCCACAAGAAGATTTCTGTTTCTGTTAGGCATAGCACTAATTTTCCCGGCTAAAAGTATAAAACAGAACAAACAGAGAGACAGATTGATACACTGGCAGATATGCAAGACTATAGGTAACTTTTGCATCCTCTTCTCTTCATCGTGAGGATTCTGGAGGAATTTAGAAGGAATTTACCCAGTTTATACTAATGAAACATTCTTGGAGTATCTATCATAGTAGGAAGCACACAGGAGAGAGCAATACACAAAGGTGGAGCTGTTGAAGACAAGCTGCTGCATTCGGAATAACACACTCATATTCCCAGTTTACATTCCTGGGTCCTATTGCTATTGGAGGGAGATGCATTAGACCTAAGCTACATCAGCAAGTAGACTATATGTGTGGCATGGATAACAACAAATAATCTCAGTGGGAATAGGCTAATGCCATGTGGCTACACGTTTAACATTGTGCTTCTCTTCATGGTCGAAGCAATAAGTAGTTATACAGAGGTTTCTTGATTAGATGATCTTTGTCGCTCAAGTCAATGAAAGTGCGGCTGGGCATTCATTTGTTCAGGCACTCAACTCATGCCTCTATGTTAAATTTAAACACGTTTTAGTTGCAACCAATAATTTTACTCGAAACTTCTACTGCTAATCGACGGAACCTGTTGAGAGTACAGTGCTGACACACACACACACCCATATTCCCAGTTTCCATAATTCATGCTATAGCTATTGGAGGGAGATGCATTAGAGCTAAGCTACATGAGCAAGTATAATTATAAGTGCTGGCAGGGATAACAACAAGCAATAATTAGAACAAGGGGATATTACACAGCTAAGACACACCAAATCAACATGACACCATCCCTTAATCTTTGTCTGATCTTACTTCCCTATTAATCAAAAGAACAAAGAGGATGGTGTCATGTTGATTTGGTGTGTCTTAGCTGTGTAATGCCCCCTTGTTTTTTCCCCTTTTGGTGCTTTGAGCCATCCCTATATATCAAATGATTTTTTTGGAGGGAGATGCATTAGAGTTAAGCTACATGAAAAAGTATTATAAGTGTAATAACTTGTCTGTTACAATCCTATCATACTTCACGCACTACTAAAGGCTGCTTATGTAATTTCGGTAACCAGTAAAACGATGGCAAGCATCCAAGCTCAGGCTTCATATCGTTCACCCACTATTGTATGCGCATGCGCATGAGATGAGAGCTTCTGAGCCACACTAATGACAGAAACACTTTATAGAAGTGTTGGCAAGGGTAACAACTCCAGAGATAAAGAACACAATAATAATCTCAGTGGGAATAGCTATTGCCATAATTAACTACATGCTTACATTGTGCTTCTCCCACATAAATCATAGTTGTAATGAAAAGCACTGAAGTGCAAACCCTCGGCGCATTGTGACGCGCACGCGTAAGTAAACGCATGCGCCGTACCACTAATTGATGGGCTGGGTTTAGTTTAGCTGTTACTCGTGTCTCTTCCCAGCTCGCGCAGAGTCTGACGCGGCTAACTACACCTACTAGATCAGCATGCGAGAGGCGATATACACGCCCTGCGTTGCATCTTGTCTGGTGCCTTGAGGTACGCAGAGCACGCGGATCGATCAGACCGTGGTAAGCCATCCCTGTCCGTGGCCTATTTGCATACATTAGCTTTTTCGCGCTCTAGCTCTGCAACGGAGCAGTTCAGAGAAAACCCCACATATTTTCTGACCTTCATTGCCCGTTCAGTAGGTGGTATCCTTTGTGAGACGAACGAACACTCGAGAAGTGAGATGACGAGTAACAGACAGACACACAGACAGACAAACCCAACTACCGTAACCCTCGCTGCGCATGCGCACCGAGGGTTAACAAGGAGTATAGCTCTATACAGAGGTTTTGACTATGGGTGTGCATAAAGTCAGCAACAAAGCTGTA